ATGTCTTTAGGAAAAATAAAAGCAAGTAAATTTACTAAATATCCTACCATTAGATATGCATAAAAATCAGGGCCAGCACAATAAATAAACAAAAATAAAATAAAACAAGAGAGAAAGAGAGGTAATTTATTTAATTCAGAAAGCATACTTACAATTTCAAAATATTCAGTCATCATTAGATGGCGATCACCACTCTCTTAAAAAAAAAAAAAACCCAAAACAAAACAAAAACAAAAAACAACAAAAAAAGGTAACATTTAAAAAAAAAACTTCTTGATCAAGGTTGCCAAATTAAGTAGTATTGAAGACAACGAATATGGTGACTAAATTTGGAATTTCGCTACTTGCAACTTATGGAGTTACTTTTAACATAAGCTGGTATAATTTTGGCTACTAATAGTTAATTCAAAATTTAGTCGCGCTTGCTTTTCAAATGAAAACCAATTTGCAAATCGTCGCTCAATCTGGCAAACTGATTGTCCGACATCCTATCTTTCTTTTTTCATTCATTTGATATTTTTAGACGAATCGGGTAATCCTACTTCTGGTTTCGCCTCACAGTACCTGAACACTCGTAACCAGAAATCTAAAAGTAATTGTAGTCTGGTCACTGGGTGTTCGTAATTCAGACAGGACCTCCTCACCTTTGCGGTATTTCTAGCCCGACCTGTTAACCCTTCTGGTTTCACCTCACAATTCTTGACCAGTCGTGTTCAGAAGTCTAAAAGCAATTATCTGGTCACTGGGTGTTCGTTCTCTAAACACGATCTCCTCATCCTTGCGGTATTTCATGCCCAATCTAGTAACCCTACTTCTGGTTTCACCTCACAGTTTCTGACCACTCGTGGCCAGAAATCTAAAAAGTAATTGTAGTCTGGTCACTGGGTTTTCTCCTCATCACTTGCGGTATTTCTAGCCCACTCTTTTAACCCTGCTTCTGCACTCGCCTCCAGTTCCTGACCACTCCTGACCACTACCTGATTGGTCGTTTAAAAGCAGGTGAAAATGGTCAATCAAACAGTATCTCCTTGTTCATTCGCTACTTGGTGCCCAGTATTAACATTATTTCAGGTCTCTACTCCAGTTACTGACAACTCGTGAATGGAAATCTAAAAACAATTAAAGTCTTTTTTTTAAATTTCAGCATATTTTTTAAGAGCTGAGACAAGGCTTGGTTTTTTTGTACAATATAAGAAATATTTGATTCCAGTGTTTTAAAATCGCCCGTATGAATGTTCAACTGTTTTTAGCTATCATTCGTCATTTTCAAGAATATAATATGGTTTAGAAATTCAAGAAAACTTTGACAAGCGTTTAGCGCTCAGAATTTTATAAATTTAAATTATTTTGAACGTGTTGATGCCATCATTTGTGGACAACTCATTTACCGAGTTGAACAGGCTATTTTTATTCTCTGATTGCAGAAGTCTATATAAGTAATGAATTCATGTGGCATTCGTTTTCCTTCCCACATAAAAAGATGGATTTTGTCATGTTGGAAATATTCTTATGGAATTACCAAAAGAAGAACCGTTCAGAATTAATTTGAACTCGGAATTAATTTCAACTCAGAACTAATTTCAACTCGGAACTAAGGGTTAGATTTAGGGTTAGGGTTAGGGTTTGGGGTTATGGTTAGGGTTAGGGATTTTAAATCGAGTTGAAATTAATTCCGAGTTGAAATTAATTCCGAGTTGAAAATAGTTCTGTCACTCAAAGGACAACAGGATTCTCGACATGTGGTTGATTGGTAAATGATTCGAAAACTTAAAAAAACGAGCAAAAAACTGGATTTTGTCGAGATTTATGATGGTAGTATTAGTAGTAGGGGGAATTGGTGCCTTATTCTTCTTTATATGCCGTGTACCTTCAGGACGTAGCGATCAAGGCTCTCCACAACTTCATATCCCTTGTAGCTCTTAATAAATTTTGTCTTTTTGTTATTTCTCTTGATCCCTTTTCTGCCATCCATTTACTGAAGCTCACTAAGTATTTTATGCGTTGTTTTTCTCTGTCCCTCTTGCCCTCTATCTGTCTCGTGAGTATCAGATTTTCCAAGCCCTCCTTCTTCATTATGTCCCACAGAAGCCTCAACTGTCTCTTTCTAATGTGAAATATTAGTTGCCTTTTTGTTTCCATTTTATCAAAATCTTTGTCTTTGCTCACATGTTAGGTACATTGTATCCATAGCATCCTTCTGTAGAACCAAATTTCTGTTGCTTCCTCTTCATCGTTGAGGAGATCGTCCAGCAATCACTGCCATACATGAGGACAGATATCACGTAAAAGTTTAGTTGTTTTTTCCTTGTTTCTAGCGAGATTTTCCTATTTCTTAATACTCTGCTTAACTTTTGGAAAGCATCTTTGGCTATCCCAATACACCTTCGGATTTCAGTACCGCTCTTTCAGCCCTCTGTTAAAATACTTCCTAGTTATATTAAATTCCTTGTTTGATTTTGGTATCTCCGATTTGCATTTCGCAATTTGGGCTCTCCCTTTTGCTAGCAACCATGCATTCTATCTTCTTGCAGTAGACATTTCTTAAGTAAGATTTGTTGAAGACTTTTGATAGAAAATCGGCTTTTGATATTAAGATGATCAGTTGTAGCTTGCAAAAAATGTCGATTTTATTAAAGTACAGAATCATTGTGGATTAAACTGTCCACCATCGAGATACAGTCTCGATGGTGGCCTGTTTATTCTACGACGATTAAAAGCCCACACGAAGACCCTTGAGCAACTTATCCGAGACCTCTGCTTTTGCCGACGATGCTGCCCTCGTTGCCCACGCTGAAGGAGTTTTGCAGCGCACCACTTCCCGCTTTAAAGAGGCTACCAAACTTTTTGGGTTTGAAGCCAATTTAAAGAAGACAGAAGTACTATACCAGCCTGTATCTCGGGATGAGTATCGCCCTCGCCACATCATCATTGGTGCGACTGAGATGAAGCTTACCTACCTTAGATGTACCATCAAGGTAGATCATTGTATTTACCAGACTGTACAAACGTGTGTGGTACAACAGACACCCGAAGAAGGGCACTAAGATCAGTGTATGGAGCTATCGTCCTCGCCACTCTCCTATACGGGTCGCTTACCGACACCAACTGCGAGTCCTCGAACGGTTCCCCCAGCGCTGCCACCGTACAATCCTTAACGCCCAGTGGTTTGGTTTGGTTTATTTTGTTTTACAGCATATCAACATCAATGGGTTATTTAATGCCGACAACATTTTTAGGGTAGATTCGTTTGAATAGAATATGTACTCTTTGGTTTAGATTGGTTTGGTTTATTTTGTTTCACGGCATATCAAACTCAATGGGTTATTTAATGCCGACAGCATTTTTAGGATAGATTCGTATGAATAGAGTATGTATTCTTTGGTGTAGATTGGTTTATTTTGTTTTATGGCATTTCAACCTCAATGGGTTATTTAATGCTGATAAAAATTTTTATTGCTGATAATATTTTGTTTTGTCAAAAATCTGTTTCTGGTAATATCAAAATTGTATTGCTAGTAATAATTTAAAAAAAAGTATTGCTGGTCATAGTTAACTATTTGCCCATAGCTGGGACCCTAACAGGTGCTACCACCCCAGGTCAGAGTGGACCTGGGAACACCAGCAATTAAGAGATGGTTCCACGCTGATAAGAAGCCTTGCTGCTGGACGTAGTTTAACGTCTTACCTAGGATGTTAACGCCCACTGGAGTGATTTATCACTAATATTGAAGTCTTTGAAAAAGTGAAGATCAACCAGCACTGAGGCCATGCTGTTGAATTCCCACTTACGCTGGGAGGGACACGTTTCGAGAATGGAAAACCATCGCCAGCCTAAAAATTTTATTGTACGGCCAGCTCCCTACTGGCTATCGAGGCAGAGAAGCACCAAAGAAGCGATTCAAATATTGTCTGAAAAAATACTTTGGTACCAGTTACATCAACCATTGCCAATGGTCAACCCTAACTGAGAACCGTGACGCCTGGCGTCTCACCACTAACCATACTGTGTCATTTGTCTCTGCAGGATTGCTCTCAGGGACAAGAAGCAGAGGAGGAAGTACTGCAACGCTATCTCATCGAGCCCAGCTGCGGCGACCGTGTATGCCTGTCCCGCATTGGACTTAGTCACAAACGTGCTTGCAATCGATCTGTACAAACTCCCTCTTGATCTTCGTTTAGCAAAGCCAAGCCATGATGATGATGATAGGTCGGACGATTATTTAGAAACATTTTTAAAAAAAATTGATCATAGTATTTATAGCACAATGCAAACAATTACTTAGAATTATACTTTAATTCTGTCGTTTTTTTTTACCCTTCTTTACAACCCGTTTTGACTCAACATTGCCAACGACGTTCTGTCTCTGCTTTCGATTTCATAGCGTCTTCGCGCGTATTTCTTTATTTATTTACCTTCTATGATCGTCGAATCTGCGCAGAAACATTTTTTTAAAGAAAAAGAAAACATCTCGAATTCAAACACTCTCATTAATAACTATTCCTTCGAGCAGTAAGCAATTAAAACTGTTTGCCTCGTTCCAAACAGGAATGACAGAAACAGATAATTAGCAAACTATTCACAACAGCCGGCTTAAGTTTTAATGCATTTGAAAAAAAAATTGTATATCTTCGGACAGAAGTTGATTCTGTATATAGGTCGACCCTTCATTTTTATCGAAATAATTGCCTCTAATTGCCTATCTAATTCATATACCTCGTGTTTAGGTCGACGCCACTTTTGTAACATAATCCCTCCGCTCGACCAACAAATAAACCAGGAGTAATTAGTCCAAAAAGCACTATATTCTTGTATATGTATTGCTTTAGAGTAATTTTCTCGTTTTGTTGCTTTGTTTCGCGTTTTCTTGTTCCCTCCAGCTTTCATGTGGTGTCTGGTTTATTCTGGAATATCGAATGAAACCGAAATGGGAAGACAAGAGAAGTTCAACAAGTCACCGGTTTGTCGTAGAGGTCAGGGGAAAGCAAGCCGAAGATCACACAACCGCAAGCACCGGATATGACGTATCTGAAGGAGAGAGAGAGAGAGAGAGAGAGAGAGAGAGAGAGAAAGAGAGAGAGAGAGATTGCCCACAATTCAACGCAAGATTCGATATTGACATATCTCTTAGCTTTACTATCAGTAATTCCTAGGTTTATATTTGCATTACTCAACTTTTGCTTACATGTATATATTTCTATATTAATGTATATTTGGGCAACAACCTTTCTTTTAAACATGTTCATTTGAATATCATAGACAAGGAAAATTTAATAAATCTTTTATTTAGTTTTTTCACCATTCTTACATTCTTCCGTTTGGTGGAAGTAAGGGTGTGCAAAAATTGTCCATATTGTCCATTGTCCCAAATGCTTTTGGCCACTTTAGACATTTTCAATGATGTTTTAGATGTTGTTTATTTCTCTTGATGTTTGTCTGTTTAAGATGTATTTTTGTGTTTTGAAAACTAGTAGGAGTGTTTATTCCAAGCATCGAGTGTTGAGCGCAGCTTGAATTCGAGTGAGCGTCTTCCTATTTAAAAAAAAAATAATAATTTCAACACACCATTCCCATTGTTAAATAAAAGTGAGATTGATAGTGGAAGCAAGATGTTATATATATATATATATATATATATATATATATATATATATATATATATATAGTAATACAATATGATACAATATGGTAATCCGTATGGAATTTCCAAGAGGATATAGATGCAGGAGAGCTCTATGTCAAAAGACGGAGCAAGGTGATTTGTTTGTAGGTCTTGAAGATTGAGAGCTGCTTTTTTTTTTTATAGCTCCTATGAAATAAAAAATTATTATCTATGTTTTTTAAGTTTTTATATCTAATTATATATATATATATATATATATATATATATATATATATATATATATATATATATATATATATATATATATATATATATATATATATATATATATATATATATATATATATATATATATATGTGTGTGTGTGTGTGTGTGTGTGAAAGTGGTTAAGACGTTGGCTTTTCGGGCATGAGAAGCGGGTTCGAATCTCACCATGGTCGATATTTAGGGAAAGTGATGTTATTGACCTGGGAAGGCGATCCCAGCGTGTGGCAGCTTTGGAAAGTGCATGAAAATCATACCATGGGCTGACCAATCGCTTATCAGTGATATTTTGATAGACGGATCTATTTGAGAATTGTCAGTGGTTTTGCTAGCCCAGAGTAACACGTCATATTGACCGAGGATTTGAGCATAATGGCCTTGTTCAGACTGTTGATCATGCCAGATATCAGTAACCGTAACCTTAAGCCTTCCAACCAAGAAACTGTAACTAGCGCTCGCTCAGTATAGTTACAGTATAAATCACAGGTGAACTCTGACCCTCAGCAGACGTCAGACAGCGGGGATCGGCTAGCCACCCTAGTAGACAGGCATATCCGAAATACAAGCGACCGGATAGTTGCACTAGGAAAGTGTGGAAAAGTTTTTAGCAAGGTCGCTTCGCTGTTGTAGTGAGTTCCATCTTTATTTCTTGCCCCAACCTAGGATGTGCAAGTAGTGTAGCGGTTAGCGACTCGGAAATATAAATTGGCTTGTCGAGTTTCGCACAAATAACTTTGGGAAACGTAGAAATTCAGCTTTTCTCCTCCAAGCTATGGGTTAAATAGTAGGGCAGACTGGGCTTTGTAGTTTTGGTTTTAGGAGAAGCACAACTCTGAAATCAAAACCGTAAAAGCTTATAGTTTCTTTTTTTGATTTATTCCAACTCTTGTTGTCATCATATAATAATTCTGCTTGCTCCTTCATTCCTTAGTTAGTTAGCACGAACCTGTAACAATTTAACTCTCTCCTACCCACAAAACGGACGAACAGATGCATCAAATAGCCTGTTTGGTAGCAGGGAAAATAAGCGAATAGAAAGAGTGGAATGATAAAAGAAGCGATAACGGATTCGTGTGTCTAACGTCCCCTTCACAAAAATATAAATCTTTGTCAATTTTGAATGTTTTTATTTGTAACCCCTTACTTCTTTAAATTATGCACTGCGTTCATATTTATGACTGTTATTGCAATATTTTCTTGTTAAGCTCAAGTATTTAACGAGACAATAGGCGAATTTTTATGGGTATTTTGTAGCCATAGAACTCGCCGTAAGCTTATTCAATCATTAACTGAAGAATTAAGATTCATCAGAAAATTAAAATAGGAAAATCGTGAAATTTTCACGGTATTTTTCGTCTTGATTATTACAGTTGTTATTTTAGACGCAACGTTTCCTCTGGCTATCGTCAGGTGTGTATTGTTGGGGTGATATGGAATATCTTGCAGAAATGTTTATTTTATCATGCCACATTGAAACGATTATTTAGAAACTTTTTTTTAAAACAGAAACGTTATCATTAATAACCATAGCTTCGAGCAGTATGCAATTAAAACTGTTTGCTTCGTTTCAAACAAGGGAAACTGAAGCAGGTAATTAGCAAAGTAATAGAACAGAATGCTTGGTTTAAAAAAAACCCCAAAAAACAAGTAAAATCTTGAATGCTCGCACATAAGTCGATTCTGTAATATCGACCGAGCTCCATTTTTAGGAGTTGAGATCAAATATAGTTAAAAAAATATGGATTCCAAAATCCAACAGAATGACAAGATGAAGAACATAGGAAACAATCTAATGTTTCACTTTTATTAAAGCTTCATCAGAGAATAAGATATGAAAAAAAAAAGAAAAAAAGAAATACTTTTATTTTTATTTTTGTGTTGTTTGATTTTCCTTGTTTAATTATGCTTTACGTGTATTCGAGTTGTAAAATAAACGTTACTATAATTTTGGTTGTTCCGAATTCAAAGAGAGATGACACGTTCATTAGGAGTTTCAAAAAATCAACTGATGTAGGTGAAAACGTTCCCAAATCAACACGCGACAACAACATTATGTCTACCACACACACACACACACACACACACACACACACACACACACACACACACACACACACACACACACAATTTTACGAATATACATTATCATCTGAATCTACCATACACAAATTAGGAGTATTATACACTTACATACAAAAAAACATATTTGCAGGATTTCAGTTTCGTTTGGAATCACTTTCGGGTTCATTTTCATCAAAATTGGCCATATACTGTATTTTGTAATATTAATGGGGTGCTTGTAAAACGAGAAGAACTATCTCGTTTTTTTTTTTTTACATTCTACAAGGCCAGTTATATGCATTAGAGTATCTGCAATAGATACACACATATATACATGGTGATTGCCACATCTCATTCAGATGAGAGCAGCATCTTTCAGCCCTAATATCATTGCATCCCTTGTTAATAAAGTGCCTCTACCCCGTACGATTTCAAGTCAGTTTTTTTTCCCAATGCTGTACATCCATATGCAATGCATTCAGATTATTTTTTAAACCCCTTCCGACACTTGTGTTTCGGACGCTTTCCTATCTTCAGTTACCCGAAGAAAAGTTGTACATGACAGATAATCCCTGTATCCTTGGTTGGATTTGTCTAGCCTAGAACTCTCCTGTGTACCACCATATGCCTCCTCAGTCCAGATGATGATCTTCAAACCTTGGTGAAAACAATACAGGTATAGTCATCAGGACGATGAGGAAGGTTGGCATTGTTGGCTTATTTCCGGTCGTTATGACCACTCTCATATGGTTTACATAACCTGCCATCGACACAGCGCATTTCAAAGCTTGCGTATTATTTCTCAAATCAAAGTGTGTGCACCTTTATTGATCACGCTTGATCTGAAGATGCCGGAAACGTTCATCCTCAAAGGCGTTGCACCACTTAAAAGAATTTTGAGTTCAGCAATCTTGTAGATATGAGGAAACATATATACACCCCCATATATATATATATATATATATATATACATATATATATATTCATGAATTATTCACACAAAAACAAATGCAAAGGTTAATGATTTAATTGGCGTGATATCCATCGTCGCAAACAATTCAAATAATATACAAAAACCACCATATTTGTACATGAACGCACAACTGTAAAAAATTTAAAAATCAAACTCAGCGTTGCTACTGCACGCTCCAAAAACAATAACTCATTTCAATAGCATTTTCGGATACAACAATACATATATTTTCGTTGTCCTCTTATTACTGAGAGAAAAAAACAAGAACAACATCTATTCCATACCTGAAGATGTCTGTAGGAACAGACGAAAGCTTGTAGTAAAAAATAAGAACTAATGCAGCAGAAATTTATAGAAACAAGGATCTTTCATTCATAACAGGTTCGGAGGTTTTTGTATATTATTTGAATTGTTTGCGACGATGGATTTCTGCCAATTAAATCATTAACCTTTGCATTTGTTTTGTGTGAATAATTCATGAATTTGTAAATTGATTGCACGTTTATCGAAATATATATATATATATATATATATATATATATATATATATATATATATATATGTGTGTGTGCGTGTGTGTGATAAAATTATACTTTTAAGGATGCTATATTTATAGGTAAAATTGTTTAATGTCGGAGACGTATGTAAATATAAGGGTGGACACTAAGGTCAACGCAAAGAGGTGACCGTTTGTTTATGCTTTTGCATAATATTGATCTCAGTCATGAAACACATTGTCGCCTCAGTGCCCACATATATATATATATATATATATATATATATATATATATATATATATATATATATATATATATATCTAGTCAAACCCCACACCTCCTTGTCATATGTCTCTTTATTAAGATGTTCAGAGTGTATAGACACTGTTCGAATGACCTGTAATTCCGAGCGGTTTTGCTTATACTTTTAGCCATTATCAAGGATGATTTTATTTTTTTCAATTTATTTGGCATGTGTGTTGTTTATATTTTTAGTGTTATTGGGATGTTTTATTTTCGAACACAGCACATTATGGTCGTGTTCGTAGTTAATATTATTAAGTGTTGGCTTTTTTCTTAATGTTTTTAATGAAACATGCATAAATGAAGGATTTCTGCCTAAATAAACAATATACAAATACTTACACACACACACAAATATAATATATATATATATATATATATATATATATATATATATATATATATATATATAGATAGATATTAGTGGAAAATATACATACATATGCAAAAAGATATAAAAAATTCCCATACATGTATATTTTCAGAAAAAAAAAAAAAAAATTTCCAAGAGGAAGGATCCAGGACAGAGTAAGGATATAATAAAAAGGTTTAAACACTAATATTCCATGGTCATAATTTATTCCATTGGAATCGTAAATACGATCCAAATCATCAGATCTACAAATTCAAAATGAAAACAGACAAAAACAACTCCGGAAATCAAAACAGAATTTAGAGAAAGTGTAAGTATGAGGAGGAGGGAGATGAAACCTTAACAGAGAGAATTGTAGGAGATGGGGGGGTGGAATTTAAAAAGAGGGGAGAAAGAAAGTCGACGGATGTCTAATGCATAAAGATACATTTCGTGGTGACATATACACACCATAGACAATTTGGATAGGAGGGGAAAAAAAAAAAAAGAAGAAAGAGAAGGGGTGGGGGAGAGAGATGGGACGAAGGAAAATAAAATTGTGTTTACTTAAAGAGCCGCTTTGTAATTGAGAAAATTTGACAAATTCATATCGACTCCAGGTTAGAAATCAAATAAGCCTTTTTTATATATATATATATATATATATATATATATATATATATATATATGATTATTTCTAACAAACCCCACACCTCCCTGTCATTATTATATACTTCTTTATTAAGATGGTTGTAAATAGATCTATATATTTTCTTCTTTAACTCATTTTCTTTTCCTAATTTTGTTTTCCTGTCTTTTATCTTCTACTCCATTAGTCACCATTTCCCTTTCGGGAGATATATATCTTCTTCGACCCCTCCGGCCGCCAATCCTTCCTGCCATCATCTTAAACCTGCCCCCCCCTCTCAAGCACATGTGTGCATAAATTAAAAATAATAATACTGAATTCTTCTAACACCTGGAATATTTGTCACCCATTTATTTGTATGAAAATATCGATCTGAGGAATTAGAATCGAATTTCGATTCTAAGAAAATAAATTATAATCACCATGAACCCTTAAAGGTGTCTGTTTCTTAATATAATTAATATTTTCTATGTGTTTATATTGAGGTCTCTGGATTATATCCTCCATGGAATTATTCATACGGATTATCAAACATCTATCTATCTATCTATCTATCTATCTATCTATTGCTTACAAAGCTAACCTGGCAGTTGGTCGCGAAAAGGATTTCAATTTGTTGTTCACTGGGGCAGGAAATCGCTTGTAAACCTTAATGCATCCAAAACAAAACTGCTTTCATTTACTCACCATAGAGAACCCTCCATGACTCCTAACAGCAATGCTGATGGCCAACACCACGAAAACGTCTCTCCGCGCCTTCTTGGTCGCACGTTTTCCAGTAACCTGAGTTGGAACAACTACATTGAATCAATAGCTTCATCTGCCACAAGGAAAGTTGGTCATCTGTTTCGCGCCAGAAGGTTTTCCTCACCTGATTCCATCCTTCAAATCTACCATTCGACTTTACATTGAATACTGTGGCCATATATGGTCTGGTGCCCTCGCTGTTCGTCTTGAGCTTCTCGACAAAATCCAGAGACGGATATGCAACGTGATAGGTCCTCATCAGGCATCTCGTCTACAGTCACTTTCTCACAGACGTGATGTGGTGTCCCTCTCTCTTTTCATATAAATATTTTCATGGCATCTGCTCTAACGAGCTATTTTCACCGGTGTCCTAACTGCATGAATTTAAGCGTACTACAAGGTTGGCATCTCAGTTGCACCTTTTCACTGCCGAGACAGTTAAATGTAACCGCCCTTCTACTCCAACAGCTTCTTCTCGCACTTCCCGACAATGGAACTTCCTTTCCTTCTAGTTGCTTCCCTGTAGCCATAATCTTCAAATATTCAATGTAATGTCAATCGACATCTGATACCTTGATCCTGATCCGCGTCCTTCTGCATATCCTTTTCTCAAACACCCCTGTTTTTACTTTCCTCTTGCTATAACTCTCTGCAAAACCTTGATTGCAAGTGGCACTTTTGCCTTACTTGAGGGTGAAATGCTTAATATATATATATATATATATATATATATATATATATATATATATATCAAACAGATTGTCGGTTAATTTTGTTGCGTCAGCGGATGACGGTAAATTAGTATAGGAAATTTTGTTTGCTGTGAAAAAACATTGATTTGGAAATCCTTCCTGATATTACATATATGTGTCCATTTTCTCTAAAACTTCACCGTTGTTCAAATTTTCGGTCCAACATCTGTCTGTAAAACCACGTTTATGTTGTATCAAGTTTCTTCTTCATCTGCGAGGAGATTGTTCAACATTTATTCCCAAATATGAGAACACGTAAATTTTACTTCTCTATTCGGTCTGAAATGGCGGGAAATGTTTACACAATTTTTTTAAAGGATAGTTTTATGTTTTTTTTTTCTGTTATAGAGAAAAATGGCAAATATAGATAAAGTCGCACGCAATAAGATGGATTGACAAGAGGACGGTTTTTCCCATGACACCGCTTTTATTTTTTTTTTTTTTAACTGCGTCCAGTCCCTGGCAATGTTTATTGTTTTAAAAATCGATAATTAGAATTGTAATAAATCCTAAACAAACGAAAGTGAATTTGTACAATTTCTTTGTTCTTGACAATTGACAACGAAAATAATAAACACTATTTATTAAATTGTGTATGTACACTATTTATTTATCTTATTATTTATGGAAATAGTTGGCTAAATATCAGCCAATTGATTCAATCTTTATAAAATGGTAAACAATAAGGATTTTCTCATAGCTGGTTCCCATATTTTAATAATTCAGTAAAGATTTATAAATTTATGAATAAAAGATTGTTTTCACATTCACTTTTTTATAAATTGGTAAAAGATAAATATTGATAGGAAATTGTTCTAATTGTATTAGTTTTTAGGACGTAAATATAAAATTATTCTTGTAAATTGACAATCTAATATATAGTACCTAATATTTTTGTTGTAAATTCTCAAGCACAAAGAACCAAATCTATGAATTCACTTTAATTATATGCTTATATTTTATTCCAATTCTAATCATCGCTTTTTAATAAATAATAAACATTGCCGAAGAGTAAATGTAGTTAAAATAATAGCGGTGTTATAGGAAAACGTATTATTACGGGCATGTTTATTCATGTTTGGGTTTTAAAAACATAACTCGACTTATACACAAATACGCTCCTATGGAATTTGATCGACGCACTTCCCCTTGCAAAAGCTGATGCTAATTTTTGCAAAATTCGCTCTTCGCGGAATCGTAGGAAATGTTATTGAAAAACGGAATCAAATTTCATGAAAAAATTCCCTTTGATACAAAAGACCGTTTAATAATTCAGTGATTGTTACGGTGATTGCCAGCTAAAAACTGACGCCATATTTTAGCCGATAAACAATTTGTGTCTTTTAGTCCCAATTCCATCCTTTCCTTGTAGTTTCTGCAGAAAAGAAAAATACGTTTCTGTCTTGATATTTGCAAAAGAATAAATTGACCAATTTCTTCCCGTTATTTGTCTCTTCGTATCAGTAAAAGTTCACATGGAAAATATTTCGCTTCCATCTCTTCGCTTCAGAAAAAAAAAAATTCTGCTTGTAAACAGAATTGTTATCGGTGCCATTAAAAAGTATTTATTAACCCGCTGTTGATGCATCTGCTGATATCACGTGTAGAGTATAGCAAGAAAATCTCTCAAACCCTAATATATAACGACATAGCAACACACACACATACACTCGCGTGCGCGCGCGCACACACACACACATATATATATACATACATATATATATGAACAAAATATAGATTTATAGTATGCTATATTTTAAATGGTTAAAAGGTGCTCAGTATCAGACAGTAGCGACCATAAATATCAGAACGATATTAAGAAAAATTTTAAATGTGAAATAACTTTTATTTTAAAGCTACAAAGAAGATTTTATAAGCATATAAATGTAAATTATATAATTCCAAAATATAAAGCTCAATAAACTTATTTTGATAAAGTTATAAAAATAAATATATAACATTCGAAAAAATAGATGATCAAAAACATCAGAACCATTAAATAAATCCATAAAATTTAATAAGTATTTTGCATCATTGAAAATGTTTTTGGGTAAGAATATAAAATAGGGTATTTTGCTAAATTACACTGGCTCTTGCATTGTAAACATGGCGAAAAAAATCTGTGACATCATTGGAACTTAGAAAACTGATAGTCAAATTACGTAATGAAGATAAACTCTCGATTGACGATATTTCAAAGACTTGATGAAACTGGGTCATGTGAAGCCAAGAAACCACCTGGCAGGCCTAGGAAAACTACTGCAAGGGAAGACATGTGGATTGGTAAAGAATCAAAAAAGGATCAATTTGCGACAGCAACCGCTATTCTAAAAGAGCTAACACATCCTTGGCATTAAAATATTAAGACACACCATTTACCAAAAACTTGATGAAAGCTATCCATTTCTAAAAAGAACCAAATGAGCCGATTGAAGTTCGCAACATTTCGCTGTCTGTCGCATTCAATGAAACATGTATCAAACAAAGGTAGCTGCCGAATATATATATATATATATATATATATATATATATATATATATATATACGGATAGAAATGTAAAAGGAAGGCTGAAAACAGCCGGGCCTAAAAGGTGAAATTCTTTGGACACATAATGAGGAAAGAGGGCTTAAGAAACTTAACACTCACGGGACATACTGAGGCCAAGATAGGGGAAGGCAGTGAGTCACCGGCCTGACGAGCTTGTGTGATTGGATCGCGAAACGGGGCTGAGGGCCTCATAGAACGAATAAAGACTGGTAAGAGCAACACGAATGTTGTGGAGAGCCATGATCTTCTATGTCATGAAGAAGAAGTAGAACAATGCTCACTGATGCGTGCATAATGTGTCACCTCAAGCGGAATAAACTTAAAAAGCTTGGTGTTCGTTGTGTGGTCAGATTCTGAAAGGAAACTGAAACTGCTGCTTTAATCATGTTTTTCCTTGGCCAATGAACCAAACAAATCGAGATTTATAAGATAAATTTGTTCTGCTAAAAAGAAACAATCCCCCCCCCCAAAATCTAGTGTTTCTGCGATCTCACTATTTACATTGTTCGGACTGTTATCCGAATCTTTGTTGCCATATACCCTTTATTTCGCTCACTGAGTTACACTGTTCTAGTTCCACATGCCATGTCTAATGGATGTCAGTTATCTCCTGTTAATTCATCTCCCCAAGTTCTCAACTGCCTCAACCAGGTATTGAACACACAACTCTTTTGGGTCCTGTCACTGAATCTAACCAACACCTTTATCTACTGTGCCATGTGAACTTAAGGACTTCTATATATGAATTTCTGGGACTTCAGCACATTTTCTACCAGAGCTCATGTTGCAATTTTTGCTGTTTTCATTCATTTTTTTTTTTCACCAGAGGTCATATTGCAATTTTCGTTGTTATTATTGCTTTTCTCTGGCACTTCTTATTACTGGTTCCCATATTGTATTTATTTCTATGCTTAGTCGGCCCAGGAGATTTTTGTGGCCTAGCATATGTGCTGATTCCTTAAGTTTACGAATTTTCCAATGCTTTTCTTTATCTTTGATTTCAACCCGATTCCACAGAGGGCAGTGATCTCCATTTTCTCTTCATATGTTGTCAGCCACGCCTGATTTTTCCACTTCCCCTCGTGTTACAGCTTTTTGGTGTTCTTGAAGTCTTACCTTAAGCGGGCGGCCTGTCTCCCCTCCCTTTATATTTCTTTTCGCAGCTGTACGGGATAGCAAAAAATAAAGCAGATACCTCTCCCGAGTAAGACCCCCCCTAGAGGGGAACATGACTAAAGACTGTATGTACGCCACATTTCATTTAAATGTGTTACCCTTCAGGACTTAGCAGATATGTCTCTTTACCGATGCCTTTACTTTAAATTAATCCTGAAAGAAGGCAATAATTCATCAGATGCTATAGACTGGCGCTACAACATCGCAAAAACAAAATTTATATCACATGACCAATTTCCACGTCATCGTCAACAAACAATGTGTAGTCCATATATTTAGAAGAGAAATAATGAAAGAATAAAGATGTTAACTTTCCACACAATATATATATATATATATATATATATATATATATATATACATTTGGAAG